AAGGAGACATGCATGGTCTTATTACAACGTGATACGCCATGTTTGGCTGATATCCCTCAGAAGCCTGCCCCCTTCTGAAGGGAAATGGAAGAGGAGTGGATGGGGAGGGTAAGGTGACTAGGAGGAAAGGATGGAGGGGAAACTGCAGTTGGGATGTAATATATGAGAACACTTTTTTTTTTTTAAAGTGGTTGTGGTGGTTTCAAAGAAAATGTCCCCCAAAGAGAATGGTACTATTAGGAGGTAAGGCCTTGTTGGAGTAGGTGTGGAGGTGGGCTTTGAGGTCTCACATGTTCAAAATACCACCCAGTATCACAGACCACTTTCTGTTGCCTGCAAGCCAAGGTGTAGCACACTCAGCTGCTTCTCCAGCACCATGTCTGCCTGAACATCACCATGTCACACAATGATGCTAATGGACTAAACCTCTGAAAATGTAAGACACCCCAATTAAATATTTTTCCTTTATAAAAGTTTGCTATGGTCATGGCTGTTTCTTTACAGCAATAGAACCCCTAACTAAATCAGAAGTTGGTACCAAGGACTGGAGTATTGCTGTGATAATCCTGATCATGCTTTTGTTAGAAGGAATATGGGCCATGGGACTGTGGATCAGAAAAGTAGTTGAACACTTTAAAGGCTGCTTAATGGGCCATACTAATGGCAGCATGAAAGACAGGATGCCAAGAATGAATTAAACTGTTGGACACTGGCTCAAGAGGTTTCAGAGAATTCTAGTCTTTTAACCAGAGATCACTCTTATGATATTTTGATGAGGAAAGTGGCTGCTTTTTGCCCTTGTTGAAATAAGACTGCCTGAGGCTAACGTGGAAAGTTTTGGATTAATTCCACTGGCAGAGGAAATCTCAAACAGCCTAGTACAGATTCTATCATGTGGTTATTAGCAATAGCTCTAATGAGGATTTATAACAAAAAGGAGCAAACTGAGCAAGATAAATTACAAAATGTAAAATTTAAGGAGAAAAGGAAAGCCAAAAATGGAATGGAGCTAAATCCTATGTTCAAGGAGAAAAACAGCTTAAGAAACAGAATAAAGGGAGTGGTGATATCAGTCAGGACAAGAACCCACTTAGCTAAATGTCAACCTTGTGAAAAGGAATTAAAGGAAAGCTTAGAACTGGGTGTGGTGGTGCACGTCTTCAATCCCAGCACTCAGAAGGCAAACACTGGCAGATCTCTGAGTTTGAGGACAGCCTGGTCTACAAATTCCAGAACAGCCAAGCTTAGGCAGTGAAGGACATTACCTAAAACAGAAAGCTAGTGAAGATGTAATTGAACAAGGGGGCCATATTCCAGCCCCAGCAAGCAGCAGAACTTGGCAGCCTCAGCCATATAGTTCTGGCTTTAGAGTCAAGGATAGACAAAAGGCATTATGGACTTTCCCTCTGTGACTAAGGAAAGCCACTGAGGCCAGGAATGTGTCAGGAGTATCCCTGAATGGAGGCCTGGAGAGGCTACTGTGTGAAGCTGAAGCCTGGATTGTCTTGGAAACCCAAACATGTTAGAGATGCCAGAGCCATGGGATACCTGCTGAAGAGAACTACTCCCTGGGTGAAACTAGCCCAAAAGAGGGAAGTGTATTGCAGTCAACAAAGCTGAAAAGCTACAGCATTTTGACATAGGACATGCAGAGTCTGGAGTTTGCCCAGCTGGTTTTCAGTATTGCTCTGGTCCAGTATTTCCTCACTATACTCCTTCCCTACATTTTAGAACAGTAATGTATATCCTGTGTCATTATATGTTGGAAGTATGCGATTTGTTTTTTGATTTTTATTTTATAGGGAACTACAGTTAAGAGACTGTATGTATCTCAGAAGAGACTTTGAACTTTGGTCTTTTAAACATTGTTGAGACTGTAATAGACTATGGAACTTCTAAAGTTGCACTATATATATTTTTGCATTATGATATGGCTACAAACCTTTGAAAGCATCCAGAGAGTAGAGTATGGTGGTTTGAAAGAAAATACTCTCCAAAGGGAGTAGCATTATTAGGAGGGGTGGCCTTATTGGAGTAGGTGTGGTCTCGTTGAAAGAAATGTGTCATTGTGGAGGTGGGCTCTGAGGTATCATATATGCTCAAGATACCACCCAATATCACAGATCACTTCTGTTGCCTACAAGCCAAGATGTAGAACACTCAGCTACTTCTCCAGCACTCTGTATACCTGAACACCACCATGTCACACCATGATGATAATGGACTAAACCTCTGAAAATGTAAGACACCCCAATTAAATGTTTTTCTTTTATAAGAACTACCACAGTCATGCTGTTTCTTCACAGCAATAGAAACCCTAAGACAGACGTCTTGCCCAAAAAGAAGTCTGGCTTTTGCCCTCAATTTCTGTTAGATAACCTATGTCATAGCTGATAGGAGTTATTTTTTTTAGGACAAGCACCAACCATATCTGGTAGTCACAGGTTCGGGGTTTTAGTTTAGGGTGATGATTTTGGGTCACAGGTTATCAACTGAACTAGAAAAGATCAGTCATGTTTAAGTAATGAAGCCTCAATAAGTACTAAAGAGTAGGTGAGCCTTCCCATCTTCCAGTAGTACACACAATATGGATGCCAGAAGAACATTCTGTCCTGAGGACAAAAGAAGATGTACTTTAGAACCTTCATAGATTAACCTCTGCATTATTTCCCTATAGTGAATCACAATTATGAATTTGATAGCTTTTGACAAACTCAGTGATCTCTACTGGTAACTGTCAGAATTTGGGTAGCTGTGGGTAATCTCTGAATTTGCTGTTGGTGGCAAGAGTTACTTACACTCACCAAGTTCTACCAACTGCTTCTCTGTAAAGATTCCACTAATACTCAAAACATTGGACCAACTAAGTAAAAATCTTTCTAATGTGGCCTCCAATGTCCTAGATTTCTCCAGAGGCTGCTTAAGAATGAGTAGAAAGTAGTGTGGGGGGAGGGTGCGCTCCTGGCCCAATGGAGTGGGCACAAGTTTTGGAATCTGATATTCACTTATTGAGTAATCAAAGCTTTTCTAAGTCTCATTATTGAAACAACAGGAAAATATCTTAAACAAGCGTGTGTTAAGATAGAAATGGAAAGTAATCCAGTGGCTGCCATACTTCAGACTAACAACTACTTTTCCAAATCACTCTTCATCACACTAACATTGTTTACTTCTCAGTCACATCCAGAACATCCAGCCTCAATGGAGATTAAAAAGAACAGCTAACAGTCTCTGATTCCAGAACCATTCGGAGAGCAAAATCCACCAAGCTTTCTCCAATATCACTGTAAGGCTACCTATTCCCAAGTCTGTCTTTGCTCTTTGCAATTCTCCACTTGGACCTCCTCCTCAAAGACAACCCAGACCCATTTCTTCTTTGGAGACACAGTATACCCTAACTCGCTGGCTCCTAACTAGGACACTTGTGACGGAACCAACTCTAGGATTGTTGCCTTCCTGGAAGCCAGGGCAAGGATTCAAGAAGAAAAGCACAGCTCGGCTGGCCAGTCCACACTTGCCCCGTGGACATTTATGTCAATGAACCACATAACTAAAAAGTATGAAAAAAAAAAAAAAACACTGAAGCAATGCCCTTAAAAATGTCACTTTATGTATATTTCTGGGAATGATATGACCAGTTTGGGCATTTTTTTTTTTTTTAATATTGAACTTCTTTATGAAGAAGACTCGCAGGACTTGGCAATTTACCAAGCACCATCTTTTCCAAGTCCAAAGAAGTCCCCAAGTTCTTCCATACTTTCTAATTTACTCAAGACATACCTGCACTATGTACATCTGATTATCTACGGTTCACAGAAAGTTCTCCCTGTAAAAATTCCCTACCAGGCATATTTACTCAAGTGATAATAAATACATAATTCTGACCTGGGATAATTCTGACCTGGGGACGCTTAAACAAACAAACAACAAAGGGGGAAGTTAAAGCATAAAGTGTGGGTCTACTTCCTGGTTGAAAATACCCCTTTAGAAGTAATAAAGCAGTAAGTTCGTGTGATCAGAGGATCCAAGTAAGTGTATAAAGGGAATGTAACATTCAGGCACACTGTCACCAAGTTAAGACTTTGCCTACTTCTCTAAGGTCATCTGCCATAAACAACCTCCCCTGTGCTCTTTCTTTTCAAATCAATCTTAGGATCCAGGAACAGGCTTGCCCAGTTTGTAAAGGTCTTTCACAATTCTTTGCTTTGTCCACACCGCCTTTCGGCCTCTGTAGTATTCCCTTCCTCTTTACCTGAACATCCACAGTTCCTACAATTCCCACGTTCCTGAGAGTAAAAGGCAGGAGTTTGCTGAGAGGCGTGTGTACCAGCAGTAGGAAACAAGTAACAAGTGGAGCCCGCTTGGCTTTCTGTGCTCCCGCGATATCCTGTGACTAATTCTACCATAACAGTTTTCACGTGTGCAGTAATTGCCGCTCGCTCTAAAAGGACAAGGGTGGTAGCTGATGTCGCCCTGCATCCCCAGAACGTTCCGCCACTGTATGGGCAGAGTGGGGAGGCTCAGTATACATCTGGGGGGCGAATACCCGCAGAAAGCCAGAGGGAGCCGTCAGGCAGAAGGCGCCGCATCCCTCCAGCGCAGCCCGCGCCCTGCCCGGAGGCTCCTCCAATGAGGCTGCGCGCTCCCGGCCGCGCCGCGCCCCGACCCGCCCGCCCGTCTCCGGCCAATGACAGTCCTCTAGCCGCGCTGCCGCGCTCCCGCGCTGCCGCCACCCGGGCCTCCGAGCTCACACTCCCCGGGAGGGCTCCGGCCGTGGGCTGGGAGTGAGGGGCGGGTGGTGGCCCCTCCATCCCGGCTTCCCACCTGCCCGGACGCCGCTGCAGGCGCGCCAACGAGGGCGGACTCCGGCGGCCGAGCATAGCCCGCTCTTCTGCGCCCGCCGCCACACCGTTTCCGGGCCAAAGGGGCTTGTGTTCGGGACCTTGGGACCCCCACCGCCCGCCGCCGGCGCTCCAGGCTCGCAGCCCGGCCGCACTGACCTGGAAATGCAGCGCCATCTTCCCGGAGCGGCGCGGGCCGCGCGGCCCTAGGGCCGAGGGGAGGGGGAGCGAGGGCGCCGCGCGAGCCCGACCGCCGCGGGATCCCCACGCTGCTCGTTCCCTGTCGTCGGCGCGCTCCGCTTGGAGCCGGGAGCGGGAGTGGGCGGGGCGGAGGGGGCGTGTCCTCAGGGCGCCTACGCCCAACCGCCGGTGCGCTCCTGTTGCAACCGCTACCTCCTCAGGTGTGAGCCTCTGACCTCTGCCCTTTAACCCACCACCACGACCCAACTGTCCGCCACAGCAGCCGATTTTTTTGAAGACACTGTCTTACCTGCCTGGCCCGCAACTATGTGAACCAGGCTGGCCTCGAACTTATCGTCATCTTCATCTTCCTGCGTCCTGAGTACTGGCGTGTGTGTGTGTGTGTGTGTGTGTGTGTGTGTGTGTGTGTGTGTGTGTCACGGCTTTCTTTGGCTAACAAATCTGCCATTCGAAGCTGGAGAGCACCCGTGTGTGTGTGTGTGTGTGTGTGTGTGTGTGTGTGTGTGTGTGTGTGTGTGTGTGTCACGGCTTTCTTTGGCTAACTCTTAAATCTGCCATTCGAAGCTACTGCTCACCGGTGGACAGCACCCAGGAGCTCACAGCTGCCTGCAGGTCCAGCTTGTGAACCAACTGCTTCAGCAGATTCCTGTATCATTTGCACACATGCAATAATAAGGAAATCTGACAGGAGTCTGAAACAAACACATCATGCACGGGTCCCAAGTCCCATATCTCCACAGATGTTCTTGTCGTCTAAAACACTGACAGCTTTTGACACACACACACCCCAAAGCAACAGATGTCCTTAACTCCTGCCCCCCCTGCCCAATTCCCATTGTTTCATTAAACTTTATAAACTGTACTGAGTTAAAATTAAACTGACAGTGCATATGTGGCATTAAATTGTAAAATTCTGCCTTACCTGTATGTAACTCCTTGTCTACAGTTTTATATGAACCTTGTAATTTACACCAAATGATTCCACTGGGATAAGGGTTATTAGAGATGAAATAATATTAGAGAGTCACTCATTCCTGGTTACTCTTCATTTCTCCAGAATTCAACATTCCCATTGGGGGCCTTGTACTTTGTATTTAAGGGGAAGTTTCCCTTAAATATTTCTTACAATTTAGGTATATTGACAACAAGCTCTCAGTTTTTGTTAATTTGAATGCATTTTTATTTCACCAATTTTAAAGGTAATTTTGCTGGGTATAAAATTCCATATTAGTCATTTAATTGATTTTTTTAAGCTTTTGACATTCCATTTTCTTCTGATTATCATTATTCCAGTTCAGAAGTCAGCCATCAATCTGATTATTGTGTCTTTGAAATACTAAGCTGTAATATTTGACTTACCCCCCCACCCCTTCACTTTGCTCTTGTGTTATATTCATTCTGCTTGAAATTCATAGTTTCTCTCATGTGATCATCTTTTGAAAAATATTGACCAATATTTCTTTTAAATACTGTTCTGTCCACCTTTCTTTCATTGTGTAACACCAAGTTCATCTATATTAAAACTTTTTGATATATTATTTATGTGTGCATACATACAAGCGTAAAGGTGAATATTTTCTACTGACCACTCGGTAGAAACTCAGTTCTGCTGCCTCAACTGCTGCATAATTCCTTTTAAATTCATCACTTACAACAGTTTCAATTCCAAATTTTTCATTTGGCTCCTACTTTTTAAAATAAGTTCCAAAGCTCTGATCAAATTCGTTTTCTTTTCTCTGTTTTTGTTGTTGTTTTGGTTTTTGTTTTTCCAGACAGGGTTTCTCTGTGTAGTTTTATGCCACCACTGCCCAGCTGGGGTGTTTTGAGACAGAGCCTGGAACTTTCTCTGTAGACTGGGCCAGCTTTGAACTCACACAGATCCACCTGCCTCTGCCTCCCGGGTGCTGGGATTAAAGGAGTGCACACCACCACTCTCTATTTTGTTAATATTTTGATAATATTTAAAGTTCTTATACAATAACTATCCAGTCTCAACCATATGAGTCATCCAATTTTTGGTATTTGGTCCTATTCTCTATGTTAGCTATTCCCCTAACCCAATGTCTTCTCTAATTCAGATAGTATGAAAGAAAAGCCATAGTTATATCAGCATTCTCATTTTTATGTTACTAAGGCAAGAGCAGATTCCACCTTCATCCTAATAATGCTTGTTTTTAGGTATTCTGATGCTGGTTTATTTCTACTTGTCCTTACTCCTAGGTTATGCTCTTCCCTGGGTCTTACAACTAACGTTCTGGGGTGTTTACCTTGTAGAGCCTGGACACAGTCTCCCAGCACTGTACAGTTGCTGAAAGAAAGCTTCCTTCCACTCTTCAGGTGCCACAGCTACAACGGCTCTCCTGAAGACTCTTCCTTTCCATTTGTCTCTTAGGAGTTAACCAATGATTGGCAGGGATTTGTAAACAGATTTTGAAGTTCACATTTCTGCCCTTTTCTTCTCTGTAGAATTTTGGGTCTCAAATCCCAGAAACATTTGTTCCCCAGCCCCAACATCTATCTACTCTTAAGTATATTGACTCAGCTGTTTGCTCTTTGTCTTTGTTACTTCTTGTAACACTCAGAAAGTGCTCAAGGGGAGGCAGAAACGGTGCTTTTATTCTCTCAAAGATTGTGGCCAATTAAGCTCTGTACTTGTTTGTGGTTCCCTGGTGTCGTAAGTAGTAGTCTTTTTACTTGTCTGATATAGTATGCGTACATGTAGGTGTGTTATAGTTGTTGTTAAATATATATTCATAATTGTTTTTATCTATCATATAAAACAAAATATGCATACAATTTGACCTAATTTGTGATTGTTCCATTTCAATAATTATTTTCAGTGACAGATCTAATCCAAGGTACATCATTATTTCTAGACTATCATAACTTCCAGTCTTGACCCAGGGTTTTCATAATTTTCCCATAGTCTATGAATACTTATACCTGCCACTCAACTTCTAAACCTTGACATCCAAGGTATGTGTGTGGAAGTAGAGGACATCTTTTCAGGTCACTTCTTGCCTTATTTTTCTTTAGGAGCAGGCACTCCATTAAAGTCTCTGCTATTGGACTCAGTATATGACCTTCCTAGAGATTACCCTTTCTTTTTCTAGTTTTCATACTTGTTTCTCCAAGTTTCTAACTCCAATTTTTTAAGTTCCATGTCTGAGGATTTTGATGTCCAATCTCAACTATAACACTTAGTTCCACATCCCAGACACCAATGTTTTTTTCTATCACATATGTACATAATATCCACTATAATTACCTACTGCCTTTGCCTGACTTCTTAATCCCAAACACTTTTAAAACACTGTTTAAAAGTCTTATGTCTGTCAGCTCCAGTTTTAGGTTCTGGAAGGAGAAATGATTATGTGATTTTTGGGGTGTTTCCTGTTTTTTCTCATTTCCAGAGGAGAAATTACATTAACAGGCTTGTAAATATAAATATGAATATGAATATAAATATAAATATAGGCTTGTAAAACAGACAGCAAAGAATGCTGGTTATTTTGTGAGTTCACCAAAAAGTCTAGAAACAGAAACCAATTTATTTTTTACCTTTAAATACCAGAGATTGCTTAAGATTACTATTTCAATGATCCCTCCCTTCTATGATTGTCACTCAACAGAATATACATTTAGCTCCATATCTTTTCTCACTCAATAAAATTTAAGGTATAATTGTGTCACTAAAGCTATTAAAATGGGCACAGAATATGCTCCAGGATGTCAGATAATTCAGTTCTACTATAAAATCCAATGAAAGGAAAAACATTAAAGCCCTTAGTAATTATAGGATTATCTCCTATTATGCAAACTAGCCTTCCAGGTGGGTTTTGATCTTTGTGCTCTGTCAGGGAACATAGTTTGTCAGAGTAGCATACTTCTGGCCCTTTAAGAAATTTACCCAGTGTCTCTTAAGTTGTTATTTCTGAGGTCAAGATGACAAGTCTATAATACAAAGAACTGTATAAGCAATACCATGTTGCTATGAGCGATGACATGAGTTGAAGCAGTAGAGGACAGTGTTTAGGAAAACAAACTGTAGAATCAAATATTGTGGATAGATTCAAAAGTTGACTGCATGTATTAATTACTTTTCTCATTACTATAGCTAAATACCTGACAGCATAATGATACACTGTCAAAATCAAAACAGGGGAGGGGGATTTAACACATAGCATTTGCCTATTGCACAAAAGACCCTAGGTGCAGTTCCTAGAATGACATAAAACAAAAATCAGTAAATGTGTGCCATTCATTTTTACAAGACAGGCAATTTAACCAGCTAAATGATGGAGCCTGCACAGTGTGGTTCATCTTTACAATGAGAAAAATGCATATTGTAATGGAAAATTCCCATGTGGTCTGATTATGTCTCATTCGTATTCTTATTAAAGATGAGAACTGTGTGAAACTGGGGGAAAGGCCAGTCAGAAAAGATGAACATAGCTCCTTACTGTCACTGCACAATGGTTTTGACTAAGCAATAGTACACAAGCACACACACACACACACACACACACACACACACACACGCACGCACGCACACACACACGTGCACACACACATACATGTGCACATACACACCACACACACACACACACACACATACCTTTAAAACATGATGTGTCTTTAAAGTAAAATGGAGTACATAAAATGTATAAATTTTAAGAGAGAATGGGTTAGAGAAAAAGTTATTATAGCAAAAGCCTATTTTCGGCACAAATGTTTACTCCCAGGAATAGACACACCAGTTTTTCAAGTACCTTAATTTGAAAGGTTGTTTTATTTGTATTGGTTTTTTTTTCTTCTTTTTTTTTTTAAAAAAAAAAAATTCTTATTTTACATATTGATCCCAGTTCCCTCTCCCTCCCATCCTCCCATTCCTCCCCCCATTCCATCCACAGGGAGAGTGAAGCCTTCCAACAGGGATCATCAAAATCTGCCAAGTCATTTGGGGTATGGCTTAGGCCCTCCCCCATGTCTCTAGGCTAAGGGAGTAACCCTCCATGGGGAATGGGCTCCCGAAGTCCTTTCATACACCAGGTTCCACCAGGTTTCATACATCCTGGTTCCACTGTCAGAGGTCCCATAGACT